GCTACAAATATTTGATTTAAAAATATAATGTATACCGGGGCATATTTCTGTCTCTTTAGTCTTATTACACACACAACGACAGAACGTAACATTATTCCCCGCTCATCCTGGCCGCACCCCTTTCTCCCATCTAATAAGTTATGACTAGACAAAAATACAAAATAACAGAGATATCACACTCCAGATGACATTCTGTGAAGGAACATACCCCTCCCCCTCACATACTGTGACAATTTATTTAATTGCCCCCCTAAAAAACGCAACAAAATTTGAAAAAATAAACCCAAAAGAAATACGGTACTGTAACGTGACGTAGGAACAAAGGGCTTTGATTTCACTTTGACTATCATTAAAAATAGAAGTACAATACATAGATGTCTCTTTCCCTCATGGACGTTCCGTTAGCTCATTAGGTATCAGGCTGGACTACGAACGGGTGGCTCGGTTCGAATCCCAGACTCAGCGTCGTTGTGGAGTTTCCAAGACTGTCAATCCATTTGGCTTGGTCCTATTGCCCGTAAGCCTGTAACTGTAACAGGACTCAAAGAACCACTCGCCCACCTCCCCCTAGACATACTGTAACACAACAGGACAGACAGATCGATAGACAAAAAAACAGACAGACATATGGTTTTTTCGTTTTAGTAGAGGTTTTTACGGCGCTCGCAACTGCATGAGGTCATATGAGCGCCAGAAGATTAGAGGAGTTACAAGAGAGTAACAAACATAAAAAAGAAGGGGAGATAAGGATGATAGACGTTTTCATAGGAAAGAAGAAGCAAACCACACCAGAGCACAGACAGATGGATCGATTGATCGATCGATTGATCGATAGATAGACAGGTAGATAGATATATAGACAGACAGACAGACAGACAGACAGACAGACAGACAGACGGACAGACAGACGGACATACAGACGGACAGACAGACATATAGAGCACAGTACTGTCCCTTTCAATACCAATGACCAACGGTGCTTTGTAGCGTTAGTCGATTCACTCGACATGTCAGCTCTTAAGTGAACAGATAAGACCAATAGATAAATGGTGACAAAAACGCCATTACGAATAAAGATAAGAATAACAAAGTCCCAACAGAGAAAACAATTAAAAACAACAATCATAAGAAAAACAGTCTACATTATACAAGTGACCACGCACAACAAAATAAACAGAAAAGACTTTAAGATGTTGTACAATTGGGTTTATTCTTTGAAACTTACAAGAACGACAATAACGAGAGATAAACTTTGCTGGCGTCACTAAAACAGCATAGAATGGAGTGACTTTCTTACATTGGCCATCTCTTGCTGTTGCTGAAAAAAAAGAAGAAGAATATACATTGCTATGTTGCATACAGCCTTTCTTAAAGAACAAAGATAAGAGAAATTGGTATGTTGATGTTTCTCTTTTACTTAGAGACAAGGGTGTAAACCACCCAGTTACTAGGACGATATGTCACTGGCGAAAGGATTGAGAAATCTATGCATTCACTAGAAATGTTTCTCATAGCTGATCTCTCTCTCTCTCTCTCTCTCTCTCTCTCTCTCTCTCTCTCTCTCTCTTTCTCTCTCTCTCTCTCTCTCACACACACACACACACACAAACATATTATATGCAAACTTAAATCCACTATCATAAACATGAGATAAAAGACAATTTTGATATTGAAAATATAAAGAGAATAGTGTTAATAAAATATAAAAGCAGTAGAATTTGTTCAAAATTCTCAATATATGAGATAGGTAAGGCCATTAACACTTTGTGGTCAGTTGGCGCAATAATATGATGGTGAAACTTATCCGTTTTGGTCACCTGGCGCAGTTGTGCACCAGACCCCAGAAGTCCGTTGTAGTCATTCTCTTGCCTGGGTGACCAGATGGGGTATTTTGTACTACTGGCTGAGTGACTGCAAAGGGTTAATATTCCCTATCACGCTATAACCCTTCTCTCCCCCCCCCCCATACAAATACAACTAGTCTACAAATACAACTAGTCATAGAATTTGTTGAATTGGGGTCACCATATTTAGCTTATTATGATAAGCAACGAGAACTGTCTTTCGGTTGTCCATCAATATCGATGATGATAAAAGCAGTAAGCGTGATACAGCTTCTCATAGAAGTACATTGCCCAGTCCAAGTGCTACTTTCCTCCATTCAGATCTTCACTTCTTTGACATGCTCCAAAGGAGAGACATGATCAATACATATATTATACACTCTGATAGAACAATTGTTGAGTTGAAGATTACACCTATTATCATCATGAAAACCATATTTAACTCAGAATCGACCACGACTATGATAGTTGTGGTGAGATGTAGAAGGAGTAGAACACACCAAGGCACCAAGAAACCATTAAATTAATTTATTTTTTGTGAACAAAACTTTTGGTTTGTTAAAGAGGGGCACAAATACAGCTGAAAAAAGTAAAGTCCATGGGCACTGGAGATGATGACAGTATTTAAAATTTGTACTGTGGTGCTTTACACTTTGACGGTTGGATGCAAGACTCTGACAAATGCAAAATAGCATGATGGCTTTTGTCAGTCTTGTACCTAATCATCGATTTTTATGTTCTGTGATAGAGTAACGCGTAACAAGTTAAATCAAAGATGATCAAAAAGTAAATTGAAAGGTGCAGTGAGTACAAGGATTAATAAATTGCTCAATAAGATGTGAATCGAGTAGGACACTTTTCTCTCATTATATTAGAAAAAAAGTATCGTAGGGCATGCAACCCATGGAATAGAAAATCACTCAAGGCACTAATATTGACCAGCGCAAACAGAATAGAAAATGTATTCTATACTGAGTAACTTCAACATAATATTCAAAACTCACAGTGTCCATGAGAATCTTCTTTTGCAGCAATGCCATCTCTTTCTTCAACTCTGCCTGCAAAGATGTCTGCTGACTTTGACGATTGCGATCCAGTTCATCAAGTCCCTGGAGAGCACAAAAATGTAGCTTAACGTAGTGTATCCACATCTGGTTACGCCATTCAAACTGAACGTACAATATTTTGTATTGAAAAGAAATGAATAGTTTTTTTATTGTCTGTATACTTTTGTTTAAGTTTACCACCACTCTAGAAAGGATGTGGAGAGTAGCCTGTATAAATGAGAAAATCACAGAAAGGTTGCATCTTTTACAAGACATTTACACTAGATTACGGTCTTTGTACAAAACGCTAAAGCAAATTTTAAATATGAGACTTGAGATACCATTCTTTGTCAGCCTTCATTACACATAGAATATAGGATTAACACTTTTAAGAAATCTGAAAATTGAGGAGAACGATGATGATGATGATGATGATGATGATGATGATGATGATGATGATGATGATGATTACAAAAATGAAAATGATGATGATGCGGTATCATAGACCAAATTCAAACTACAAAGCAACAGGACCAGTCCTTATGTATCCATCAAGAAAATGGGTTGTGAAAGACACTAAAATTAGTACAGTGCAGCCTGTCTATAACAACCTTCTCTATAACAACATTTTTTTCTGGTCTCGACGATTTCATTATAGGGAGGCTGCACTGTACAAGTTTGCTACAGCAATTCTAAACTGACACAATTTTGTCAGAGACATGAGAGAATATTCAATTGCAGGATGGTCAAAACAAAAAATTTGTCGACAAAACATGGATGCATCAAATCTTTGCAGCAAAACGCGTGCATACATAGTAATCATACTTCAAAGTGCTGTGATAATAGCACTCGCAGCAAAAATGAGCTTTGAGAAAAATAAATTTCCTTCAAATCAGTGATCATATTAATGAAAATTCTAATCAACAACATGGAGAAACTTATAAGTTATTTTAAAAGCTTAGAACTACTGGGCAATGTCTCAGTCTCCTACTCAGTCTCATGTTCACTTGTTTCATACAGATGTTATTCTGTACTGATTCTTAGAAACGAATCAGAAAGAGCACTTACTTTCATAAACTGATCACTGAGTTCCCTTATAGTTTTCAGTCGTTGACTTTGGACAATTCTCCCCTGTTGGAACAGTTTCTGTTGTTGTTTGAAGAGATTCTAGTAAAATACAAATTTGCATAATGATTAGGGAATGGTGGTGAAAGACCATAACATAACATGGAGCAGAGGTTCACAATGAGCTACTCAAATTGTTTTACTAAATGTTCTTGTCTAATAACTTATTAAGTTACAACACCAAGGTTTTCTTGATTTACCCTACAATTTAATCGTATGTTCATGAAACAAGATACAACACATAAGTGTGATTTCATAATACAGACGTACATTACAAGTAAATAATGCTGAGATCTTTAACACAAAAGAAAAACAGAGATAAAAATTTCTGAAGGAAAAGGCGTACACAATAATTGAAAAAAAACAACTCCTCAAGAAAGTAGAGACATTCAAATAGTTTATGAACTCTGTTTTAGCTGAAAAATGTGTCAAAGAAAATTTTAATGTTATTAATTTATATATTAACAAAAAGAAATGTAGTGGAAAATACAAAACAGTTTAATCTCCCACCACTCAAAAGCCTTTTTAAGGACCAAATTTAAAAAAACCCATCCCACAAAAAAATTGGACTTCATAGACAAAGCAAAACTGATTATGTATTCACATTCAGCTTTTCTTCTTGATCCTTAGACTTTTCAATATCAGATTCCCATTGTTGATACACAGCGTTGACTTGCCGTCCAAATTCTTCTTGGAGTTTTGATCTGTGAATAGCATTGATTTATCAAAGAAGTTAAAGTACAAAAAGTCTCCAGTTCCCTGGTGAAAAATTTGCTTTTGCTTGGGAGCAAGAAAAGCTTTCAACACACAAAATAGTAATTTAATGTAAGAAGCAATACAATAGAATAACAAGTACTTTTTCAGTTAATGGCTCAAATGGATGATAGAAAACTTTTCGGGTGTGGAAAGATTGAGTCCATATCCTTTACTGTCTCACAACAGAAGCCATGTGAGGCAACTTTCAAAATGTTGCTAAGTTGTCTTGTGCAAGCTGCGCATTAACATGTGAATTCCAGAAAGTTGTTGCTTACTACTCCACTAAAGGGTGTAAGGTGCATTATATATTTCATAGGTCATTTTAAAATGAGAGATAATTTATGTAGGAAAGCTGTTAACATGTTCACTGCTGGTAAAGGCAGGAAGCTTCCCAGAGATAATACAAAGATGAAAGCAGTACGTATATATTTCAAGATAGAGTAAAAATAAAAACACCTTTTTGAGTTGCTATTAACTGATCTAAAAATATGATTGTACATGACATGGAATCAACCCTGACAAAACCCCCAGATCAGTTATTGTTCACTAGAATCAAAGACTTGTATTTCAGTTATTAAAAATACAATATTTAACACAAATATGAAAATATCCTAAAGCATTGACCTGGCCTGCTGTTGAGCAGTCCACAGTTCCTCCACTTTTTTGTTGGTGTTTTTCAAGGAACTCTGGGTAAACTGCTCCACCCTCTTTTTCTTGTGACACAAAGTTTTCGAAATGTCAGCTGAAAAAAAAGGACAACAAAAAATTTATAATATTAAAGGTAACAGCTAGCTATGGAAGATAGTTTATAATGAAATGTTGACTTACAGGGGATGCTTGTAGCAACATAATAAGTATACAGTAATATTGTTTGTCAGGTTAGTGAAATCGTAGCGTCACAATACTCACAATAGAAAAGAAACGTTAGGCACATTTTCTTGTTAAAATGTAAGGTCTAACATTTGCCGATGGAACAAACAAAGAGGTCTGTTGCATCTAATTTTTTTCTGAGTCTGAACATTTGTTTCTGTGACGGAAAGGCGAAAATTCCTTAGGTAGCTATACTTTAGGTGAAGCCTTGTTGTAGAATCTTTCCATAGGCCTATAGGCTAAATGTAAGCTTATATACAATAACAAACAGACAGATATTTACAAATCAGCCTTTTGGTGGGGGGACATTACAAATTATAACAGATTCAAGTTTATCAAACGATGGAGATAAAAATCTAAATTCTATGTTCACAAATGTCCTTGGTTTCATTTGTCAGAATCTCAGTTTGTAGATTACTTAATGATAGGGCCTATATACTCCCTACAAAGTGAGAATTCAGCAAATTAAATATCAAAGTAGTCAGAAATATTATTTTTTTAAAACCTAAATATATAAATAGGTCTCTTTTTCAGCATTTCAAAACAAAGCATGTTACCTCCAAATCCCTCAAGCATTCTCTGCATCTCAGAGCTGAAATAGAAAATAATAAAGATCAACACTTTCACATACATGTATATTGAAAAGCAATCCATCAGCACTAATTGTTCTCTCACAGCACACTGTAGTCTGTGCTTGTTAGAGTAACGAAAAGCACATTGACACAATAACGGTCATTGTAGTGTGTGCTGCGTTGATCAAAATTAAAAACCCTCATACACTGATACTGACACACGAGGCATCATCATTGCCTTTCTCACCCTGGGGCAGGATATAGGCCACGAACACATTGGGCTAATTAATGCCAGAATGTGCAGGCAGCATTGGCTGTAAAATAAATGAATGATCAATGTCCTGCTTACTATTGTGTCATCTTGAGTTAGAGGAAAACATTTTTAAGTAGGGACCTACATTTACACAGTCTTTTTTTCTTTTCTTTTCTTTTTTTGTTTTTTTGTTCAACTTTGAAAATAGTCCAAAAACCCTTTTGAGCACTGATTTCTTAACCTCGTGATGAGTTTGAAGTAAATATGTAAGCCCATTAATGGCTAAAGATACTGTTTCTATAACTCTCATTCTCAGCAGATCTGCTTCTGAGAGCATTTACCACCAGTGCACGGCATGTTGACCAGCTGTTTTTTGGGCCACATTATGTGCTCATGGCATCAGCCCGTGGGGAAACCACCAGGTGAAGTGTGCTCAACAGTTGCGAATCTTCAAAAACAGTTATTTGGCTCTGGGCTATTCATTTTAGGTGTAATGGCAAACATAATTTTGTCTTCAAAGTTTCACACTTTTTTAGATGTAAAGATAACTCTAAGACAAAGGACCCCCTTCTCCCTCTGCAAAGTAAAAGTGAGGACTATATTACTGAAACTGTTTTTCATAGTCCAAGCCTTTCAAAATGCACAATTAACAGGTCCAAATGGACACTTTTCTACACCTCCTGCTTACATTCCTTAAGATTTCTAAAATGGTACAGGAATGGATTTTCTAAAATGGCCAAAATGAAATAGGAGCAATAAACTGGTCTCATCATTCAGTATGACTATGACAACAAGGGGCCTATAAATATGAGTCCGAGTGATTATTGAAATTTTAAAAAAAAGAAGAAGAGTAAATTTGATAGCCTGAATAAAACAAAACTGACAAGTTTGGGTAATAGAAGTACAATTAGTAGAGGTCTGGGTTACCTATGTATGGTATATTGTATCCTGAATATTTGAAGAAGGTTAAAAATTACACTTAAAGCATCATGAGAATGAAATTAGACTTTTAAAAAATAAAGCAAACCTGAAGTCTCCTGGATCATAGTCATCATTAGCACTCCTCTTTTTACTTGATGTTGGCTTCAGTATGATGGGAGCTTCTTCATCTGACAGGATGACAAGTTGGCAGACATTGGTTACTATAATACATGTATTCACTGAACATCTTAGACAACACGTTTTTGACACTTCTGCAGCTGGCTTACTTATGACAAGATGTGGGAATGGATATAGCTAAAGAAATCTGAGCTTCAGTGATTTATGTGGTGGTGAATTATATGTAAATGTTAAAATGTCCCATAAGAAGCCAAGATTTTAAAATTAATTCATACGGAGAAATAATTTAATGTGTTGAGACTTTTAAAAAAGCAGAAGAACAATCAAGTAATAAACCAAAATAAAAATGCTTTTAAATGCGAAGCTCTATTCCTACCAAAAGCTATATTCGTACCACTTTTCATTTGGAAAATAAATAGGAACGAATGCATGTAATATATATATATATATTATATAGCTTAGCCTATTATAATAGGTTAGGCCAAGGAACTTAGACCTAATGGAGACTCCTCTCTCTCTTCGCAGAGCCACGAGCGGCACGCCGAGGTGGGGAGCAAATATGGCCACCGACTGTGGTCTAGATCACGAACTGCTGTGTTTCTTTTTATGGAATCTTATTGGGCTGGGCCACGTTGTGGGGGTGGGCGGGGTGGGGGAATGCATGCAAGGAAGAGGGGATGGGGCTGGGATGAAAGAGGAGGGGCGGGCCTTGGGAAGGGACGAAGGAGATTGGGAAAAATGAAATAAAAGAGAGAGAGAGAGAGAGAGAGAGAGAGAGAGAGAGAGAGAGAGAGAGAGAAAGAGGCAGAGAGATTGTTATCAACTGACGGGATGATGGATAGAATGACAGGGAGAAAAAAAATATTAAATTCTATGTGTGATACGGACTGTTCTAGGCAACTGAGAAAGCCTAAGGACTGTTCAATTATTTAAGAGTTTTGTGTTATATAGCTAGTTTAAAAATTAAGAAGATCGGCAAAATAAGAAGAAAACTTATCCAAGTATCATAAAATTGTACAAAATACCAAATTATAAAGATAATCTTTCATGACGCTAAAAGATTTTATTATAATAAGAAATGGTGAAAAATGTATTTTATAAATAGAATTTAAGATATGACTGCATGATTCTAGACATGGGTATGAGGGGCTTTGTTGGCTCTACCAAACGACACATGCCTTGGCTGTAAGCTCAGGCTCTAAGCTCTTATTGCGAGTTCGATGTTCGGCAAAATCAAAGGTGTCGATGAGGAGTTCACACCTGGGCGTGATTCCTTTGTCGTAAAATACTTGCGTCTGGAGCAAACGTGTACCTGGCATCGAGATTTAGAGCGGAGATGTGATCCCATGCATGAGCATGGATGCCCTTTGAAGGTTTTTTTTGTTCGGTAAAGTACGATAGGGAAAGCAGCGTTTTTAGTCCCTTCACACTTCAGAGGGGGATAATTTATCTTAGGGATGACAAGTGCAGTAAAATCTATTGTTGCTTTGTTTGGTTTATTTTTTAACAGTGAAATCTTAAGTGAACCGGAATTATAAATTGTGGGATCTTAGGTGAAGACTACAACAATAGATTTAGATCGAAACCGAGTATAGTTCTATCAAACAAGACTCAAACTCTTATCCACCCACCCTACCCCCTCCCCTCATCTGATATGGTTTGATGTTTCTTTAAAATAGAAGGTATTCATCATTATTGTTGTTGGGTATTGATTTCATATTTTAATGGAGCCTCTCGATATCCACATCTAGACAACAGTAGTCTTGTTACTAGGAGATGAATGGGCTTAAAAACATAAAACAAGTCTGACTGACTGATTGAACTCAATACGCTAAGGTGTGTTATATGATTAGTTAATATATGAAAACAAGAGATACATGTAGAAACCTAGACTCTAGATTTTGTCCCGTCAAAATAAAGGTCTGCTGCGCATAGCATCTAATTTACACACACAATGGAAAATACTTTAATTAGAATGTTTAATATGTAGATTATATATATTATACATACACACACACGCACACAAACACACACACACACACACACACACACACACACACACACACACACACACACAAGAATAAGAATGTTTTTAAAAAATCAAGTATCTCGGTCTTTCTTCTGGGGTGTTGTTACAGTGTATCCCTTTCTGCCCGGGTTGGCCTTGGCAGGTAACGACAGAGCCAGCCTCTTATAAATGTTAATGATCTAAATTGTGTCGCTGGGGGCATAAAAACACTTTCATCCAGATTTTTTATAAAGGAAAACAACACCTGTGAAAACGTCTGTCCTCTGCAGCATCATATGGGTTCTTACACTTAAACACAACACATTTGGAAGGCATTCTTACTAATTGACTAGCCTAATCTCGGAATAAAACTTTCTTTCTTTAAATCTATATTTCATTGCGTGAGCGCAGCGCAGGTAGACCACAGTTCCGCTGCGAGAGAGGGCTCCTATCAGGCGTGCGTTGCCGCTTACGGAGCATCCTCCATTACTGTAAACTCCTTGGTTTAGATCTAGATCTATATCTAGGCCTAGATAGATTTCTAGAACTTCCATAGAGCTACAGTGTACATCTATGAGAACTTCCCAAATGCAGGTAAGCCATGAATGATCATGAGCTGCTTACTAACAATAATAACAATATAGAATCTCTCTAGATCTAATCTAGATCTAGATTTATCTAGATATCTAGGATCAGATCTAGAACATCTCGACTCTAGATCTACATCTAGAATCTAGATCTAGATCTAGATCTAGAGATAATATTCAGCTTTTGTCTTTGTAAGTGTTTTAAAGCGCTCGCACGCAACTCATTATTATAAGGTCATGAGCGCACGCGACACATAAAACACAGTTGGTAAGAAATTTTTAATTTTGCCCGGGTGGCAACCGAAGCCTAGATCTAGATTCTAGATTCTACTCTTATCGATTTTAGACCACCAAGGGACCTTTATTAACGAGCGCAACTGGGCTAACACACGGGACCTCTGACGTTTTTCGCCATTGTCCGAGAAGGCTAGGTGTAGATTAGATCTTTCCTACCAGAAGATCAGGGGTGTGGCTGAGAAGGAGCAAGGGAGTAGATCTTATATAGGCCTAGTAGGCCTAAAAGGCTGCAGAAAGAGTCAGGAGCCCAGAGGAGGGGGCAAAGGAGGTGAGGTGGTGGGGGTAGAAAGTGGAGACGAAAGCAGACGGCAGAACATTGCTTGCTTGAGAGCCATTCATCAACATAAGTTCAATCTTGAGAACGTAAGTTTAGATCTACCTCTCTGCTGTCCTGAAAAACTGAAAGGGTCTTCATTGGGGACGTTCAATTCATTTTCGAAGTCTTCATCAAAGTTCTTCAACTGGGACTGGGATGGTTTTCGCTCAGCTTTCTTGGGGCGCGTCATCTTTGTTGTGTGGACTCTTAGTCGTGTACGTCCTTTCAGAACTTTCTATTTAGAATCTACTTTTTTTCCCTCGCTCTTCTCAATTATCACTGCAAGCTGTCAAAAGGTGACTAAAAAGTGATGCAATGCTCTTTTTAAGAGATCTAGATCTAGATCTAGATCTAGATTAGAATCTAAATCTAAATAGTCTTTTCGGTAAATCAACAGATCTGAGCCTTCCTTCTGTAGAATCTACAACTTCCGAATTCGAAAGACAAGCAGACGACAAAACTGATTATCAAGGGACGTCACTCTCATATTTAGCTTTTTCTTGAGAGATGCATTGAAGCCCTTGAATAACGGAACGGAAGTGTTTGAGAGTGATAGTCCTTGTTGGTATGTTTAGACATGGCGGCTTCAGCAACAGCGGAGAAAGCGAACCAGATAATTGATGACCAGTCCCTAGCAGAAGAGGTAGAATCACTTTCTGATTGTTCGATGAGAATTAAAGTTAAAAACCAAAGCATCGAATACAGATCTGAACAAGGGACTTGAAAACAGCTCATTCGAATATATGTTGGCTGGCAACGGCTGATTATATTAGTCTACAGGGATTAAGTTAGTCAGACCAATGATTAGTCATTCCATTCAGATTGGCAATTGGTTACTTACTTGAGCACATGTCGCGTCGCCCACTACTAACATGACAAAATAACATAATGTGTTGTGTATAAATTACTGAAATTTGACCTGTCATTGTCGTGATTTTAAGGTGAGATCCTTTACAACTTGGAGAAATTGAGAACGAGATAAAATGTAAAATGGTACCAAACTTTCCAAACCATCAGATTAAAAAAAATAGAACCACCACACTCCCTGCAGATAGCCACTTAAAACATTGTTTGTATTATCATCATCCTCTGATCTCTGTCCGATAGGGCTTGTTCAGTTGTTTATAGAAAAATTTGTTTGCAACATGTTTCATAACTCTTTGGAATGTACCCCCTTGAAATCGGAGCCCCTTGAAATAGCTATTATTATAAAGGCAGTCTGACCTGTGTAAGACGGCCATTCACTGTCAAGGAGAAAAGTGTCCGTATAAGACAGGTGGCCATCTTAGGCAGGTCTGATCAAGATGAAGAAAACATAATGTTCCCATCTGAAGCCCCAATCGAAAGTAGCCGCAATGTTGTTGTTTTTGTTGTTGTTGGTTTATATAAAAATTTTGTTTGTACATTATTTTATTTTGTTGCTGATTTTGCGCAAGGGTGACAATAAAACGAAATGTGTCAGACGCGGAAGACCGAGTGCCATGTTAAAACAAACACATGGGTCTCCACCACTCGGAGAATGAGCGACGCTTCTTTTGCAAGTTCATGTTAACGTCCATTTAGCAATGCCAATCGCCCGCTGCGCCGGAAATGGACCTCCGCGCGAGGGGTAATTTTTGGGCCGCTTGGAATCAGAAGTGACTCTCTTCTAAGTATAGTTACGGGAAAACTCGTTGACAAAAATAAATGAAACTCGGCAACCAATAAGAGGAAAGGTTAAACTAACGACATGCCAGCGTACAATCCCGAGTGATTTCTAGAACTGGAGAAATTGCAGTGTTTGTGTGAATTTCCTCTGCGGTTTGAAAACTAAGCCGAGCTGCGGGTTGATCGCCGACCACTCAGGCGCCCCACATGTCTTCTTTATTGCTGTAAAATTTCAAAAAAAGTGGCGTCGGTGGCCTAGTGGTCAGTCTCTCGGAATCGCAACCGTAAGGTCGTGGGTTCGAATCCCGTCAGGGGCCCGACGTTGTGTCCTTGGGAAAGGCACTTAACACGAATTTTCCTCACTTCACCCAGGTGGGAATGGGTACCCGGCTATAGACAGCGAAAGATCTTGTCAGTTTGTTAGTGTTTGAGCGCTTAATCAGCTGCTTGCACTGTATGCTTCCCGGGAAGATGAGAATGTTTCGGAGTGTTCTGTGGTCTGCTGGGGTAATAATATAGTGTAAAGCGCATAGAGCCTGCTGTTGAGCGGGGATATGCGCTATACAAATGCTATTTATTATTATTATTATTATTATTAAACGCGAGGTGCCGGCATGCAAGAGACGCGTGATCGCTAGGAGGCATGTGATTGGCTGCCTAGAACCAAATAGGTCAATCACATGCCGCCTACCGATCACACTCCCAAGAAAAACATCTCCTCCCTGAAAGACGAGAACCTCTGGAAAGAGTTCCCTCAACTCTCCCACCACATCTCACCATAGCAAAGCCAAAAATTAGGAAAACACTTTTGGACAAGAGCAATAAAAACACATATCCTGTAGCACTAAAACATTCTGCCCTTGAAACAATTGATTCCTATCCACCAACATGTATCCACTCATACACTGATGGATCTACCTTTAAGGCAACAATCAACGCTGGATATGGGTCAGTGATCAACTTGCCCAGTGGGATAAAAAAAGAAGTCTTTAATTCCAGCGGGTCCTTCTGCTCCAGTTTCATTGCCGAACAACATGCTATCACCAACACAGCAAACTACATCAACTACTTGTTTGACACTAACCCACTTGCTACCACAGACATCGTTATCTTTACAGACAGCCTTTCAACACTAGTGACACTTGAGAGTGGGACTGATGTGAACAAAGATATATTGCACTTGATTTGGAGTCTATATAATTTGATAAGTAGGCACCACGTCAAAGTAGTCCTACAATGGATTCCTGCCCACACTGGGATACCGGGAAATGAAAGAGCTGATGCTCTGGCAAAGAAAGGAGCTAGCCTCCCTCAGCCTGAAATTCCTTCGAATTACTCCACCTGCTGCCAAATGATCAAGTCAAACCTCAAGGAAGACTGGATGAACGATTGGGCCACATGTACGACAGGAAGGAGGATGTATGGCCATATGAATAAACCACTGGTCAAAGATCCAATCGATGAGTTGAAGAGGGGAGATCAATCCATAATCTTCCAACTTTGAACACAACATGTACCCCTCAACCAACATTTCAACCGAATTGGAGTAAAGCAGTCTGTTGCCTGCCCACTATGTGACTACCCCTCAGAGACAGTGGAACGTCATCTTTTCTTCTGTAGAAAACTAACTGATTTAAGGGGATGTTTTCTTCCCAAGCTACCCCACACATCTAATTGCCTCTACTCCTCAAGACAACAATTAGAACAGACATGCAGCTATTACCGAATGGCATCATGCAGAAGAGTTAACGCTCAAATGCTACTGGATCGCTAACAACAACAACCAAATAGGTCACCGATGACTTCATTGCGGGTTTTCCCGATTCCGCTTCACTGAGTTTTAGAAGGGGAGATCGCGTCTCAGTAAAAACGATGTCACACAATTCAACAAATTTCATGCAAATTTTAGTCTTTAACATCCAAAGTAATAAAGACATTGAAAAAGTGATAGCAGGCCTAGATTCTGCACAAAAAATCACTTGAAGATGTCAAGTTTCATTCATATACTCCAATTCATTACTGACTTATGAACAGTTTTTCCTCAAATTACATCAAGACATGTCCCACATTTTGGCGATATTTCCCTCTATATGAAGGTCCCCCCAAATTTTGCAAACAAAAATCCCAATAACTTTTTTATTTATCAAAGGATTTGAAAAATTTAAAAACCATAGTTCTTAGAACGTACTTTATTTTCATTTAAGCCCATTTTATAATTTTAAGCAATTTGGATGAAAATTTAATTTTTCATTGTCATTGCTAGTCCATTGTTACTTTGTTACAGACTGGGTAAACAGTGACCACTAATCTCGCGTATGATTTGTGTATGAGTTCTGGGCGGGGCTTATGGGATATGACGGATCACGTGCTTACCTCACCAGCAGCTGAAAATTGGTACCTATTGGTCAGCAGTGGGAGGGGCCTGCGCAACATAATCGGTTGGAGGGACTACCTAGCAACAACGACAAGTGATTGGATTATGACGGCTCGCCCACAACGCCAGGGGCCAGTGCGCAATTTATGACAAAACGTAATGGAGTCACTAAGGTGGCCGTCTAAGACAGGTGTTATTGCTTGTGAGAGGGGTTGTGTGTTAAAATATGGTGGCTGCGGCTTCGTTGGACAGGTGCCTGTTTAACGCAGTTAAATTTTATAGAAAAAACGCAAGGGGGAAATGGAAAGTGGCTGTTTGTACTGGTGGCCGTCTTATAGAGGTGGCCGTCAGGGCAGGTTCGACTGTATTCTTTTTTTGGAAAGAAAGTCTCAGTCAAGACCACCTTAGCCCAAGTAGTCTTAATCCTTCTATTTTTGCTGTGTTAAAAAGTACACATCTAAATACGAGAGCTAACTGTAAAAGTTTCCCAGACTCACTTGGAATATCATGGCAAGAAATACAGGCAATTTACAGACCCAGACAGTGTAATTTTCTTTGGTTCTTTATCATTTATTATTATTATTATTGTTATTATTATTATTATTGTTATTATCACTATTCAGTAGTATTTTTAAAACAGAATGTGACTGAATTTTCAGGAGCTATGGGCCGAACTGGAGAAAGAAGAAATACCTTCCCATATTCGGGAGGCTAGACTTGAAGCTCTCCGTCAACAGTCCCACCAGTTCAGTCAGATGAAAGAACTTTCTTTTGGAGAATACACGTGAGTTTTTGCAATGGTCATTGTACTGATTGGAGAGGTTTTAATATCAGGAAAAATTGCGGTATGACTAAGACCATATGTATGGTAGTGCGGGGCGGTACCAGCGAAACCCAGTGCCAGTCCTTTCCCAGCACTGAGTGTTGAGAACTACCACCATACTGGGAGTGACACCAGGGGGTGAGGTCAGAGACTGTTTAGCGCCATAATTAGCGCCGGTCGCATCCCCCCTCACACACACACACACACACACACACACACACATACACACACAGAATTTGGAGAGGCGAGCTGTGATGCAAAATCCCTTTGAAGTTTGCCACCGTGCCGGATTTAACTTTGCATACAGAATTTTATAAATGACTATCACCGCTAGAAAATTTATTTCATTTTCGGAATCAGTGTATCAAAATAAGCAAAGTGGCTCATGTAGGACCTGATTTGATGCCATATTTAAACTTAGGCACACTTCATTTTTGATCGTCAATTTTGAATCCAAAGTCATGTATCAAGGTCACTCACTGCATTGTGCATCTGACATCATAGTTGCTAGGCCTAGGCCTACACACTGCAGATTTTGTGAAGGCGTGGGCCGAAAAAAAAACCTGTTGGTGTCGGCTCCTTCCCTGAGCCGGTACTGGAGGCGTGGTGCCGGCACTGACACCTCCTCCTGTAGAACTTGGAGTTCTGGTACTGGGTACCGGTACCTGCCCATCCCTAATGTATGGTTTCAAAATTATCCTTGCCTATTTCCAACTTTTTATGACAAATTGTACCTGTTTCTCTGGTGGCTTGACTGATGATTGATGACATTGCACAGCGACTTGGTTTTTGTTGGTTTTGACACTTGAAAGAAAATGATATTTAGGAATATGTAGACTATAGAAAACACCTGCTCATGTTCTATGTGTTTTCGTTTTTAAGATCAAGTGTTAAAATGGGTTTATATATTGAAAATCAAGCCTGTAAGTTCCAAATTAATTTACGTCCGCTTTGAGTAGGCCTACATCTCTCAACTGTTGAAATAACTAGGGTCAAAGAATTAAAGGATGTGTTTCATGTTAAAGACACTCTTCTGACATTCTCCTCAGCCTCATACCAGATGAGAAAAGTTTCTTGGAGCTGACGACGTCATCAAGTGTGGAATACTGTGTGGTTCATTTCTTCCACCCTGATTTCAGACGCTGTTCCATAATGGACGTCCATATGGAGGTGGGACTGAGCTCTGAACACTATATTTTACATTTTTAAAGGAAATGTCACAAGACTAATGTATGATTCAAACTGAGTAAAATAAATTTTGCTAAAAGTTGTTGATTGTTAATTTAATAGATAGGAAGTTTCCAATTTATTATTCGAGTTAACAAAAGAGAAGAGATACGTAACATGGAGAAAAGAGAGCCAAAAAGATAATAAATGTGTGTGTGTACATATGAGAGAGAAAGAGATTGGGAAAAGAGAGAGACAGAGTGAAAGAGAGATCTTGATAAAGAAATAAGATGGATGCCTGCCAAAATTCCTTATGTTAATCTATTGAATCTTGGGCTGTTGGGATTTTTTTTCCTTTGCATTTTTTTGTTAGTGTAAGGAGGGGTGAAGCTTTATGTGAATATGATAGTTGATTGGTGTCAGTTGTTCAGTTGTCAGGCTTCAGACTATCAGCAGTCAGGTAGGCTACTTGGTTTTAAGTTTCAGTTCAGATGTGATACTATCTCCTTGGGAGAAACACTTAATTTTTTTTAAGTTTCCTTACTGCACCCAATAAAGAATGGGTGCTGGCTCAGACAGTGAAAGATCTTGTCAGAATGTTAAAGTTAAAGTATCTGTAAAGTAACAGCTGCACTGAATGCATCCCAAAAGCTGAGGGTGCTTCCGAATGTTATACTTTTCATCCATTTGATTGTAATGGCTCATTTTAAAGTGCATAAAGCCTACTTTCTATAATATGTTGTGGAAGTTTAGTCTTGTAAAGTAACTTGTCCAATAAGAAATCTGTCTGTTTTACTCCTGTTTATCACATGTGTGCCCTTTCATGGTAAATCAGAGAGACAGAAAAATAGTGAAAGTCTCCATTAGAAAAGTTTCGGAAGTTCTCTGCACTCATTTATTCTCTTTGTTGTTGTAGGCAAGTTTTAACACTGTTTCATTGTTTAAAACATATTTTTTTCTTGCTCATACTTCTAAAAAAAATGAACACTTCAATTGAAGTCCACTGGTATGTTTGTCTCATGACTTACAATAATTTGGTTCTTTTCTCCAGAGACTGTCAAAGAAATATTTTGGCACAAAGTTTGCCAAGCTTAATGTGGAAAAGTCTGATTTTATTGTTGCCAAGCTGAAGATCCAGATGCTCCCTGTTGTGATGTGCTTCAAGAAAGGCATTGTTGTGGACAGGTCAGTGGCTGTGAAAAGGAGCTGTGTGCTCTGCATGTTGTTATATATCTGTAGTTCACTCTGTAGTGGGTAGCACTGAAAACTATTTCAGACACTAACTCCTTTCTTGCAGTGTACGAGCCATGACCATTGTGGATTTATTTGTGTGTAAACAGGGAAAAAACATTGTTTTTCACTAGTCTACGTCTTCCTTTCATAAGGAATAAGATAATGGTTAGACTTATAGGGATGCAAATTTTTTGTAAATTTCCCCCATCTCTCTTTGTCAACCCTCCCCCTACCCCTTCTCTCTCTCTTTTCTTCTCTCTCTCTCTCTTTCTCTCTTTCTCTCTCTCTCAGTCTCTCTCTCTCTTTCTTTCTTTTGCTCTCTCTCTCTCTCTCTCTTTCTTTTGCTCTCTCTCTCTTCTTTTGCTCTCTGTCTGTCTGTCTGTCTGTCTGTCTGTCTGTCTGTCTGTCTGTCTGTCTGTCTGTCTGTCTGTCTGTCTGTCTTTGTCATTCTCGCTGGTCCTGTCCCTGTCTCTTTTTCTCACTCACTCTCTGACTTTCAGTAAATTTTAGACTGGTCAGTTTCCACCCCTGGACTTAGATTTGGGTTGACTAAAGTGCTTGAGACAATGGTACTTAATGTGTGTGTATCAGTTAAGCGCTGCAACTCTGCAGGGTTGTGGTTTGACTCTTAGCTATTGAGTGCCAAAGGTGTGAGCTTGAGTTATACGTGGAAAACTCTTTTTTGGCAAATATCGCCATCTTTCTGCTGGGATGCTGTACTCCATTTTTATTAGTTCTGTGAGTTGACAATGACTAAATGGTACTTACATTATGTTGCACAACACTACCTGCTTACTTTACACTTTTAAAATTAAAACGTTTAACAAAATCCTATTCGTACGTCGTGTTTTACTATCGTATCCATACGACATGGGGAATTCCGTGCCACAACTTTCTGAAGAGAAAATTTACTTGTTAATACGATCCCTACGCTTTGCTTAGCAGTCTGTCAAAATGATTTTTTGAGAAATACTGAAAGTTGCAGAGAGATCGTCGTACTAGAAGTATTCTAAAATGTGAAGAATACAACCCCGGGGGTACGAAATGACCCCAGGGCATACGGATAGGATAAAGTTTGTTACCAATGAAAGGTTTGCAAGTATCTTCTTAAAATCTTTCTTAGTATGATAATGATAAGTATGCCAGATGTTTCCAGTTGACCGTGCCAGTCTTTGTGGAGGGCCACATTGTTGCAGCCTGCTATGCACACGCTGCAATCCTTACCTATCTGCTTCCTGCTCCCCAGTATACACATTCCTGTTTTCTGGTAGTCTTGTGCTTCTTTTTTTTTTTTCATGAGGTACCTCAGTTGTTACTGAAACGTGCATTGTCACTGCATGGAGGAAAGGGCAGTTCATAAATGAAAGTGTAAATTCAGAGACGAGCTGCCATTTTTATGATTTTTGAGCAGGAGGATGGTTTTCATTTTTTGGCTTTGTGATGATTTGTGGTTCCCTTAATTTTCCATAACCTTTGGGTTCTTTGAGGAAATACCATATAATACCTGGTAAAGTCTTTCACTTTCCATATGAGTGAGGAAAAAAATGTTGATTGAAGGAGACTATTGCACCTCTTTTATTTTTGTTCAAAATTGTTTTACGATGAAACCAGTCAGTCTGAAAATTGAATTGGCTTTTCTTGGTCTTATAGGAAAGTCAATGGACTCGCTATAAAAAAATTGCAGGATTGAGTCCTTGCTTATCTGGGTTTCGCATTGTAGCCATTCTTTAGGAGAGGTATGTTGGCTGTTTTCCTTAGTGTACCCAGCTTTTGTCAGTACCTAGTAGTTGATAGGAAAAGAATGTATATATTGGGAATAGCTGAATACATATTAGGCAATACTAAAAGTTCTCAAATTGACTGAGATGGTACTGTAGAAAGAACTGGCCAGCTACAGAAGTTATATTTTGTGTGAGCCTTGTTTAGAGGAGTGGGTTTTTTTTCTTTTTTGTTCAGGTATTTTTATGCCCACATTAACACAATTGAATCATTTGAGGAGTGGGCTTTGAAGCTGCCTTGGCTAAGAGGGATAAAACATCCCCACAGGAAGACCAAAATAGTAAGAGTTCTCCCCACATTGGAATCGAAGTCAGGTCTTCTAACATGCAACTGCAATTGAGGAGTGTGAGATGATTAAATTTTATATCATCCTCACTTGTAGTATGAGGTCATAAGTCATGCATTTGCCCAACAAGTTCTCGGGAAGGTCCTTTGTATATACCTTTTTGTAATTTGTCCCTTTGTTATCCACACAGAATTATTGGCTTTGAAGAGCTTGGCAACACAGATGACTTCCCTTTCGTGGTATTGGAAAGGAGACTGGCTAAGTCAGGTAATGCTTTTGCTTTTTATTATCCCCCGTTCACTTTTTAAATTGAAATGTGTGTGAGCCTTAAGTCTGCAGAAAAGTCAGTTGCATGGCCGGAACCCCAGCGGTCAGGTGGTGAAAGAAAAAATATGGTACGACGCAGTGGAATCAGGTGCTGTTTCATTTGCCTTGTTTCGAATGAAATAAATATCCATCTATCTTGAGTAGAAGTCAAAATATTTTCTATTGAAGGAGATGATGTTGCCTGGTTTCCGTGGTGAAATTAGCGAGAAAATGGCCGCCAAAGTTTGGTAAATTCAATGGCTAAAGAATCCTCAAAAACTGAAAAATGACATATTTTGTGTCTTTAATTATTCAGTAAAATTCACATGAAAATGTGTTTTTATTTGGACAAAGTGGTTGAGCAAAAAAATACACATTCGACAATGTCTTCCAAACTGCCGAAAAAATGCCTTTTTCTCTGATTTTGTTATTGTGACGAGCGCCTGATTTCACCTCGCTGCCTCATAAATATTCTCAAAGAATATCAGTACAAATCTTACAGTTTTTAGATGGGTGGTTACTAAGATGTGTGCTCGAGCAAGATAAATTTGTTCTAGCCTAGAAACTAGGTGTCCCACCGTAACTAGGAATGATGTGTTTTAATTTGAATTTGTTTTTGTTTTATACATATTAAAATAAATATATTGAAAGGTAAATATATCAGCGAGCTTAGAAACGTCCCCTGAAGGTAACTGAAATTGATTTTCCTTCATTGATCTGCATTCTGTTTCTGTGGTATTCAAACATTGTCCGTATCACATTATGACTAGGGCTCTTTATTTTGATCCCCGTGAAATTATCAATAATTTCTTGGATATGATAGACTTCACTTCCTTTCTATTTTCAGTAACCTAAAAAAAACCAAACTTTTATACTCTTTTCTTTTCTGTGTAATAAGTTAAACCCTTTTTAAAGATTTCTTATGAAAAATTGTGTATACGGTGTTACTCGTGATGGAAACTAGAGGAGGAATTTGTGTTTTGTTTACTTCTTCCAGACCTGGTTGAAATGACTTCTTATTTTTCTTTTTTGTTTGCTTATTAGTTTATTTATTCTTTGATGTGTTTTATGCAAAATAGTTATAAAAAGCAGGTGTATTGAGGGTGCCCTGGATGTTTCTGTCTGTTTTTGTCTTCCTTGTACCGAATGGATGTTGTCATGGCTATGGTATGTACTTCTGTTTTCTCACTCTATGCGGAAATAGGTCTTATTGAATACAGGAGGCGTACTGCATGGGTTGTAACTTTTTTGTGCTCATTTCAGCCTCAAAGTCTAAGAGAGCTAAAAATAAAGTTAAAATAAGTACAGAGAAAAGACACTGTCCCAGCACCATAATATTATGTGGTTGTGGTGTGTGAGTGGCACCCATAGAAGAACATCATCCCTTGTTTTTGGAAATGCAGACTGATTATAGCCTATGGGCTGCTCGGTATCAATGTTTAATTATGCCCTCCGTTTTCTTTTTTTTTCCCCTAGGAGTTATTGAGCTTGCGGAGGATGAGGACCCCTCTAAGAAGACAATCTATGGCCACAAGTCTTCTGTACGGCAACGAGCCGACGATGATAGTAGTGATGACGATGATTAGTGCTGACTTATGTGTGAAGCATAGCTGTATTTGTGAAAGTGCTGGGATGTGCTGTTGTTTGCTTGCTGATATTACCACATGGACTCTTGACTCAGGCCTTTTTTGCTCTTCCGTATCACATTATGTGTCATCTCAATGCTCTATCTCAAAGTGATCTTCTCCAAAAATATGTGTTTATCTTGAGAGAAAAAATGTGTTCTGTGTATGTCAGTTATCAAATAGGTTCTGATAGCTATTTATGCATGTTGCTTTAGTATCCAAAGTAAAACTATGCAAACAACTGACACAGACATAAATTATTTTTTTTTATGCTCTAACTAGACATTGAACAATTTGGAGTAGCTGCAAACTCAGTTTGCCTGATATTGTCTCTTTGAATGGCATTGATTTTTCATTTCTATTCAGGAAAGCTGACAAGCTGTTGAATTGTTTTGTCAGCTCCATTTTTAAAACGTAGGATTCTTTCCTCTCACTGAAAGCTAGTAAAAAGTTATAAGTGCTTTATGTGTTTCACTGCCAAATGCTTTTTAAAAAAATATTATTTCATTAACAGAATGGTTATACTTAATGCTATAGGGATCCAGTCATAATTGGCATAACTATGTAATGAAAATGAAATTTGTATGGTTCTTATACAAAATTTTGAATGATGCTTTCAATATGTCAGTATAATCTTGAAAATGGTCAGCCTCTATTATGAAGAAGGAGATTATGTATTGAACAAAAGGCCCTTTTTAAATACATACTCCTTATGTCTGAAGTGTAAATTTTAGTGAAAAAACTTGTGCGAGTAACTTTACCTGTATTAAAAAAGTAAAAATAGCTGAGCTTTTTAATCAGAATGTCATCAAGTCGCAGCAAAATGGAAGAAAGAATGGTCTCAAGATTCGTCCATTTGGTACTGGAGTCTTTGAACAAAATAATGAATGTTCAATGTTTGCATCAAAGTTTTTATCTTTATATGTATGGCAAATAAATGAATGAGTATGCCTTCCTCAAAAACTGTGTTTGATCTATATATATTTCTTACAAAGTGCCTGTTCCCTGGAAGTGGTTGCTTGATTTGTGAGGATGTTATAGCAGCATTGGTGTTGGGCATTAAAAAAAATTCAGCTGTATACAAGCTTGTTGATAAGTAAAGGGTGTAAATATTTTCTGCCCCCATCAACACCTTTTAGAGTCTTTACAGACTGTTTGGACCTGGCCTGTATGGCTCATCCTAGGCCGAGTGAGATATGTCATCCCAGAAGAAAGATGAAGACACTCGATAACATGGTGACGTCGGTGGCCTAGTGGTTAGACTACCGAACTCTTAATCGAGAGGTTGCGGGTTCGGGGGTTTGAGCTGCGGGCCTGACGTTGTGCCCTTGGGAATTTTCCTCCTTTCACCAAGGTGGAAATGGGTACCCGGCCATAGACAGCAAAAGATCTTGTCGGTATGTTAGTGTTTTAGCGCTTATAAGTGGCCGCTTGCATTGTATGCTTCCCAGGAAGTTGAGGTTGTTTCAGAATGCCCTCAGGTCTGCTGGGCTAATAGTATAGATTGTGAAGAGTATAGACTTGCTGTTGATCGGGAATTTGAGCTATAAAAATGCTGTCTATAATTATTATTAAGACATCATGCTGGAATCGATAAAGTCTTTTGCGTGCAAAGGCTGATGTCTAACTCTAACCATCACAACACACCTGTCAGTACGCACAGGCTTTGACATTTCAATATTGATCAAATATTGTGAACTGATAGTTACAGGTCCTCTGCTAGTACTGGAGATATATACAGTCTAGCACACGCAGAGCGAAATTGGCGAGGTGCGAAAATTTTATCTTTATATATGGCTTTGGCCATGTGTGTGTTTTACATGCAAAGAATGTAATGCAGGAGAAAACATTCGAGACACGATAATCTGTTTGCTATCTGGGTATTTCCCTATATGCATGCTAGACAGTACTATATGGATGGTATCATTGTTGAATATAGTCTTAGGCAAGGCATTAACAAGAAATAAGAGTTGGAAAGAAAACTATATAAAGAAAACATGCAGTTTCTTTCAAGATGATTTATTTAATAAAAGAAATTGCTTAGACGCTAGTTCACTAATAGTAAGTATTATTCATATAATTTATTCATTCCCTCATTTTATCAGAAAATCATAAAAGGTTGGACGGCTTATTGGTAGCTATTTTAGCATACTGGAAACGTGTATAAAAAATGAAAAGTCTTAAAAACTAGATAAATGTGGCAACATTACAAGGTCACATCAATATATTTTGGGCTCAAGGACGGTTTGAATTACGTCACAGGTTTTGGGCAAATGAGAAGGCACTCATTGCTTTAACAGACAACATTTTTATAATAAACTAGAGCAAACACAGGGAGTAATTTCAGTTCATCCATAGAAATAAAGTAAGCGAGACAAATTGGTAAAACAAATAACTGACAATTGATGCATAGAGTGACATAAGGAGAGTAACTTAAAATAGTACAGGAAAAATGTTTGATTCAATGAAGAAATGTGTGTGTTGGTTCAGAATGGACATTGAATGATCTGGAATCAGCAATTCTTGACTCTTGACTGGCAAATAGCAAAGTGGATTTTGAAAGTGACAAAATAAGGAAAGACTCTAAGAGCTATTCTCTAAAAGCAAATACTTTTGTTCTTATAGTAAATAGACATTCTTATAATTTTCTTTGTTATCAAGACTTTGGATACACACTTAGTTTCACTCACAAAATCATGATATAATATTTGAGTCATGTGCGAGAGAGATAAATAACCTGGTAGAACTCTTAATCTCTTTTTCCCTCTTAGTGAGTTGCATTAGCACTTCATCAGTCGCAGCGAAAAAACAATAATTGAAATTTAGAAGTATATGACGCTTGTAACACACATCATTCCGGCTTGTACAAAGGTTTACACAATAGGTACCTTGTTCAAGTTGTTGTAATCAAATGTTTCATAATACAAATACAGAAGCATACAAATCTTTACCTCGTACATAACTCACTATTTTACTTATTTTTTCTTGCATAGAAGTCGCATTAAAATCAAGTGAGTTAATAGACTGAATATTGAATTAATAAAAATATTAACCATCATTCAGACCAATAAGATGTCTGTTTAAATTAAAATAATATACGATCACATCACAAAAATAACCACAGCCTGAATCGTTTCACTTATACCTACATGAGCCTATATAGATATAGACTTTACAATATATATATAACTGATTTTGGTTTGTTTGTTTTGTAAGTGTCTTGCTTTGCTCTTGGAGTATTATGATTGTTTCTTTACGTGCATATATGTGTGTACAGGTGTGTTGTGTGTGTGTGTCTTGAGACAGCCCGTGATGTCATGTCATCTGAGATATTTCTCACAAAATGCTATCGTAAGCACCGTGAGACAAAAACATTGAAAAGGTTTATGAAATTAATCATTTTTTCTCACAGAACAAAGGTTAAAATCTACATGAGCAATAATTCATGAAAGGATCGCAAAAAAAAAAGAAGAAAGAAAATGAAGTCTCCCCAGTACAGGCTTTTCAACCATTTCTTAGAGCAATGGTTGTAAACAGACCAAAAATGACAAAATGGGTTCTAAACATATTTTTACATAAATGTAAGAAAATAATATTACAGCAGTCAGCATCAATATAATAATGATTATATCTATCCGTCTTCAGAGAGTAAAACAAACATGAAGTCAATTTTTATCACAGATTTTTCAACAAACAGTCCATGTGTAAGCATCTCTGAATGTTTTCCGAAAGCAAGAGTCTATTTAAGATAACATAATGTGTCTAGAACTTGGGGGTGTTTTTTCCCTGCATTTGCAAAATTCTGATGTCAATGAATTGGCACTTCTACTTTTAAAGTAAGACAATTTTCTAAGGAACCAAATGATGTCCCATTCAACTGGAAGATCAATTACTTTAAAATATGACCCCTAAAACAGAGACAGTCCAACAGGCAGACTGCAATTCAGTTAACTAGTCCTTCGTCGTATGTACTCCTTCTATTCCATTTTATAATATTTAACTTCTTTTAAAGAACATTCAGCACTGTCGTGATACGAGAAATAATGTATTATACATTTTAATCACAATTTTTTTTTAGCATAAACTTTAATTGTTTACACAATATTAAAAATGTAATAACTCAACCGAATGCTTACAATAACTTACATATTATTTTCTAAAACTGTTGAAAACCTGTGAAATGCTTACTTCCTTTCTTTCTTTCCTTTTTCGTTCTTTTGAAAATTTTTGTTTGTTGTTTGTCTTTTTGCGAAAAGTGGAACCGCGGCTATTTCGACCCTAGCTTCTGTTATACAACGCATTCCCAAAGCCCCCGAGCGCCGAGGACTCTGTCATCAGATCGAAAGCGAAACAGCCAGAGACGGACCGCCAGAAGCTGGGCCGGAGTCCAGGTGTTCACCAAGATGCCTGTGGTGGGCGGGGCATCGGGGGCAGGAAGTCGTGGTGGTGCTGCGACCGGACTTGGTCCACTCCTGCATCGAAGCGCGTGTGGGGTTTCATGAACGCACTGGGACCCTCACAGGTCTCTCCGGGTTCCATCTGAGAAAACGAACAAAACAAAATTACAGTTAATTAAATTTGATATTATTGTGAGTATCAGGTTAAAATGGCAAAAAAGACTTATTATGCCAGCATGAAAATATAGGGACATTAGAATGGTTGTTAATTATGTCAGTTTAGAATGTTCCTAAAAATAGAAAGCCTATATCAATAATTAATATAATGATAGAAAAATTAAGACCTATAGTGAGTGTCAAAATAATATGATCTTATACACAGTACATAACACTGATCCGCTGTGTCAGCATGACCTCGTTTCGATAAAATATTGTCTACTTTTGACTCGCCTTTTCAAGAAATCAGCAAACTCAACTGACAGAAAATATACCCCATTCCCTAAGATGGGGAAGTTAAATTTTTTCCATAAATGATTACTTATATTAATTACAAATTTGTATGCATATATAAAGCATTTGTAACGTGTCCCATGATCTTGTACTTGTAATAAAATGTTTTGTAGATTTTCTTAGAAAGGTAAGCTGGAGACTGAGATAAAAGTTGGATTTTACATTAAATATCTGCAGTTGAAGAAACAAGCCACACATTTTCTGTTTTATACCCACTAACTAGTAGAGGTTGCCCTATTTGATACAGAGAGTGAAATATCAAGCTTATTGAAATACATTCGTTTGTGGTATGCGGATTGACAATAAGTTGTTTACATAAAAGAGAGAATACAGCTCATAGGAAACAGAAAGCCATAATATCATATGCGAGAAAGATGGAGATGATTGCGTTTAAACAAAAACACCTGACCCAGTTCATCCAAAATTTTTAACCTTTGTTAGATAAATACAAAATCTCATATTATTATATCCCGTTTCAGTATGTACTTCAGACTGGAAAGTTTTTCACTGTAAGTTTTTTTTGTTTGTTTGTTTTTTTAAAATCTGCTGACTTGTGTAAATATTAACATTAAAACTTGGTTAAATTTGATAAAATCTGCTGACTTGTGTAAATATTTACATTAAAACTTGGTTAAATTTTTCCATATATAATTATTTTGTGCCGACATGAAAAATGTTTGCATTTGTTATCGTGGTATTCAAACTGACGTAATGTCTTGAATGAAACTCAACAATAATTGAGAAGGCTGAATCTCAAATATATGGACAAACGATGTAGGATACACTAGTCCTTGTAATCTGCTGCAGGACAATGGGGTAATCTGAAGGAAACAATCTAATGACTTAGGAGTGCCTGGTGCCGATCTTGGTGCAGTATCAAACTATAATGATATGAATTAGAAAACAGTGCGACACACTTTAAAAAAAAAAAAAAAAAAAAAAAGAATCCACAACACTTCTATAGAGATGCCACTTTCCTGGAATATCAGCTAATTCCTTCACCCAAGATTCTTATTTTCTGTACCCATTACTTCTTTTGTTGTTGTTGTCTTTTGTGAGTGCTTTTGGTTTGCAAATCACCACAATCTTTTTGCATACAATTTGGTATATGTTAAGAATCTTACTCCTTCTCTGTGGCACCCCTACTTCAAAGAGTTTGTGGTTAGCAAAGGCTGCACATCAGTCTCAGTCAGTAGGTGCTGTTGAGAATTCCAAGCAAACCTCAGATGTGATACAAGGGAAAAAGCACACCAGGTGTTCATTGCATGCACATATTGCATTGTAGCTGTTCTCAGGGAGCGAAGTATATTATATTAAGATACGCGAGGCTGTTGTCTGTACGCAATTTCTATACATTGTGTGTATGAAGTCCATAAGTCCATCCCTCCGCCCCCTCGCCCCACCCCCAACATTCTTTATTTCGCTTTATTGCTATCGCGCTGTGAGTTGTTGGCAGGCGCCTTGTTGTGGTTTGCCCCTTCTTTCCTGCAAAACATAATCTAATATCCTTATCTCTATCCTTTTTTTTTCTTCTACCATGTTACTCTCTAGTCGCAACACGTTTAATTTTTTATATTTATGGTGACCTTTTTGGGGTGCAAGTGCTGTAAAACTCAACAAAAACTAAACTGCTGTCGTTCTTATGAAAACAACTAATAATTTATTCAGTATAATGGGACAATTTTCAATCATCAAGAGATAATATGACGACGTCTATGGTCAGCATAGCAGTTTAGTGCTGACAGGCAAGACTTTGAAATAGAGGCACTACCAAAACCCTAAACTGCATCTGAGGGGTGACTTTAGTACGGTCGGTACTATGCTTTGACAACTGTTTGAACTTTGAACATCCCTAACAAGGCATTCTGGGATAGTTTGGGGGAAACGTCCCCCTTCTTGGTTCAGTCCTCTTGGCGATGGGTGTAAAAATGGGAGGTCCCATCTTATCTTATAATGTTTTAGAGCTCAGAGCATCTTAAACCCGTATTATCACACCGAATGCCAAAAACAATGTCCTGCTCTCGCCCCGCGGCAGGAAATGATATCACAGTTACAGCCACAGGGAATGAGTCATTGCTATACAATGTAACTAGCCTAGGCCTACTTTTGTTCGGAGATCAGCCCCGCGTTTATTCCAAACTTGGGCCTAAAATACATACTTCGCACCCTGAAACCAACCACACTGTAATAACATACGTGGTTACACAGTTTAAAGCACAACAAAGCAAACAAAGATGCACACACCTATGACGTGTACTGAATCAAGAAGTTGGCACGCTCGCGTTCCTCATCTAATAACTCCTCATCAAGGGGGGGTAAAAATGGGGAGGATGGCGCCATACGAATGGACCCAGCCTAGAAAGAAACCGCACAGAGTAGACGTGCATAAATTAATGTTATGTTGATTAAGAGGGGAAAAAAACAAACGAAAACAAGTACCGTAACAACTACAAAGGTGAACATTATTTATTTTCATTGCCAATCATGAAAAGGTAGACATTCGAAGTTGGATCACACGTGTCTGACCTGAACGCATTCAAACTTAATATCAAACCTCCGAAAAAGGAGATATAAAACAACTTGCCATTTTACTCAAGATATCAGTATTATCCTGCACCGCATGTGGAAGCGTCATTTGAAAGCAAAATCTAATAGAGAACACCTTATGTAAATGGACATTTCCTGCTTTGTAATTTTCGCCAGAGATCCGCTAGTTTAAGTACACTTTGCTTTGAGTCTACCAATCGTTCATACAAAGCCTACAGTTGACAATTAAATGTCGATCCATACTTCATTTAAATATTAATGAAAGAATCGGAACAACATGATAGTCGAGTAGTCACAGGAAACCACCGGTAGGTTCTACTTCTGTTCTTCCTTTTTTTTGTTGTTGTTTCTGACCGTCTGTCTTGCTATTTCCCAGCACTAGGTGGCTGTTATTGAGCCAATATGCTTCTCTACTCGAATTAAAATATTTAATTCAATGTCGTGGGGGATCGACCATATGCCACCCGGAACAAATTAGATGAGCAAAGAAGAGAGTAGGCCTATATCATAATATAGTATTTGGAAGAAGCAGACCACATCGAGACATTCACCAACCACCCATGAAGTCAGCAGTCGTAAAATTTGAATCACTCGCACTACCCACAGTGACATAGGTGTGATACTCCAACAGACAGGACAATGGGCTGAGATGCAACCAGGATAATATTCATAAATTGAACGATCGGTCTTCAATACGGCTCATTTGTGTCTAATAGAGTGTTGAACTTATTAGAGACAAATCAATGGCACGAAATTTATGGCATCTAGGCGTTTGAATTTCAGTGAAGAATAGCGACGTCGTAGTATTACTAGTATGTCAGAAAACATATAATTTGACAAGAATTCAAAATTAATGAACAACTACAACCCACCTCCCCCTAAAAAAACCGAAAAGAAACGCGTGCCAATAGTGGCATACAGCTATTTTGTCTTGAGCTCTGTTTCAGAAAAAAAAGAGAAAAGTAGCAGCCTACAAGCTTAATGAAATAGAGTGGGAGTGTCGAATAAGGACAAGATCTTGTCACATGAAAGTAAGAAGGAAACATATCAGACGACATAACCAAAAAAGGTATCAGACTTGAAGCATGCAACAAAATGTTCTATACTGTGCAACCTCTTTTATCTCTTTTATTATAGTCAAACTTGAAGAGACCCCTCCTTTCCAAATCTACCCCCACTACAATGTCTGAAAAAGTATAACAGTGGGTCACGTACCATTTCAAGAAAAAATCTTAAAAGTGCAATTATTTTTTATCTCGTGTGTTCTCTGTGTTTACGTCGATAAGAAATTGGGGTTAAGTTTTTGCACATCTTTGGAAATTGAGTAGCACAGAATAATTATAAGATTATAAGGACAGGTTATGGCATTGTCATGTTAAAGTGCGAGTGAACACAATTATATTACAACCACGAGCATCTATGAGAGAAAGAAAAACAAAAACAACAAGAAATGTTCGATACACCTATGTGGTATCTCACTTCAGTTCAAAGGCATATGGACGACCCTAGTATAAGAGGCATGAACATTCTACCCCTTTCATCTCTAGACAATATCTTTTTTATCCTGTGACTTTCGGAACCAAACCTCGATCAGATTTTTTAAAAACAACACATTTTCGACTACCGGCCTAAATTTGGACCTCAAACCTTGCTGTGAGAGAATAATTGTAAAATTCTGAATCGTGATCTGAAATCTTATTAAGACAAAGATATAGCCAAAGCTAAACGGCTGCCTGTACACAACGTCGCGTCTTCTTTGTACATGAAACAAGTGAATTCTTTTTCTGATTAAGTGGTTTTTGTCCCTCACTTTAGCATTAATACAGTTTTTCCTTTTCATACTATAGGTGTGACATTTTACACAACATTTCTGTAATATTCATTAAGACAGGATACTGGAAAATGATATCTTTAAACTGGCTAGTTTGAAAAGTTACATTTCATAAAACTGCGGGATTATAATATTATAGTATTGAATACGATACTAAGCTTTGGTGGTATATGTGTTGTAAATTGCTCCTCTCCCTTTTATAAAAGCGTGAAACTAATAACTGTGCGTGTATATTTGCACTGCCATAATATTATGGTAGTAAACGGCGCTGAGCCAAAAGAAAAGCAGTTCAGTTCACAATGTTAGCCATTCTAAACACAACAAACAGCACCACAGAAATAAATTACAATTGTTCTTTTAGAACTTTACTTGTAAACAGATCATGCGGTCTTAGGGTCAGAGTTACGGGGGTCAAATACGTGGGCTGTCAGAAAGTAACATGTTCAGGAAATTCTTGTTCTGCAGAGAATCAGATAGATTGTAGATTATGTGGAGGAGGATGTGAAATCTGGGGAAGGGGTGGGTGGCATTCTCTCAAGAGTTCAACGACACATACGGCGTTGTGACGTCAGCCGTTTCTTCTTGACATGTTTTGTGGGCCGTCAGATGAAAGTTCCTAATAACAATTTATTATTATATAATATATATATATATATTGTTTACGTTTTGTGGAGAGAAAAGTACAGTTAAGTATGATTTATACAGGAGTGATTTTTGGCCAAATGTAAAAGATGAGGAACAGACACAAACGAGGAAACATACAAACAACGTTATTTAAAACAAGGGTGTTTAATACGTTGACAGACAGAAAGAAATGCAGATCTAAGAAATTAAAAAATAGCCAGATACAGGCGGCCTGACATAAAAAGACAGCGAGAGCAAGGTGACTCATAAGCCAAGCAACAAGAATTTCTTTCCGACTCTTCGTACACAGCAGCAGTATAGCTTTGGCTATTCAAGAAATTTTGTAAAGAAATCAAAAGTTTAAACAAAAATAAAAGCTTTGTTATGATGACAGCAATCAAAAAGTTTTCCATATGCCTTTGCACAAAGCAACCGAAACGAAAAGCCATCTCATCCACATGACATGAATCACTTTGTACACTCGCCATCTCCGAAGATTGTTCGTAAGATACGTCATCTCTTTTCCATTTATAATCGCCATTAGCGCTAATGAAGACGTGTTGGTTCGAATTTTCAATAAATTTCGACGGTCACAATCTTCACTCCTACGCTCTATATAAATAAATATATAATGAAGTTGTTTCCTTAAAGTAGAGACGTGCGTGCGATAAAAAGAACAACATAGATGTCGCTACCAAAGTTATGGAGAATCTTTTTAATTCTTGTTCGGTGCCACAAACTAAGGAGTGATCCATTTTGGTGTATAAAAACTTCTTCAGACTCTGAAATAAACATACTGGTACTGCACGTTTTTTTTTCAAATCCCCCGCCCCCTTTTCCGCGCCATTGAGAACGTATAGTTCATTTTCTCAAATTGAGGAACAACCCATCTTGCAGAACAATCTTCGCTGTCTCTTAAATCACGAAAAGACACCCTGTATGTTAGAAAAGGTAGGTATGCCACTTTTCAAGTTGGATTTTTGGTGAAAGTTTCATGGAAGGATTGAATGGATTGTTGTTGGGTGATTGGATACGTCTTTCCTTATGTCTGCAGTGTCAAAACATTGTATCTTGCACAACCCTAAAGACTGAAACCCAATATATTGAGAGAATTCTGTCACATTTTGTGGACTGCATGATCTTTTCCTTGTACTGTGACGTACCCAATACGTTCCATAAACAATTTTGCTTGATTCAGGGGACAAATGAGGGAGGAGTGGGGGCAGGCAGCTTAAAATCAAGAGAGCCCAGTAGTCCACAAAAATGCAGTTGTCCACAAAATAAAGCACATCTATGCATGACCCAAACCAATGATAGTACACAACAAGATGGGCCACTTCTCTCTTTGAGCCAATTAAAAAAGTGTCCTCAAAATTTGGTGGCGCCCTCTTCACAAAAGCGCACTCTTTGCGAACAGAGTTACCCTACTTGAGTTTTAAAAAATCAAAGTGAAACTAGCAAGTTTTGGGATAAATTTCGGAAGAACGCTTTTTTAAAATGGTTACGCTGACAAAAAACCTCTTCCGGAGGAAAGGGTGATGGTTTTCTTCGTTTAATTTGACTTTAGAATGAAAGGTGAGAGGTCATTAAAATTTAAAAAACCCTAAAACTCCGCACTGAACGAACCCGAACTGCTGATGAACAGCAGTCGATCTGCGCACGCAAGGAGGTGCTATTCCTATTCTTTTTCTGGAAAAACGAAAGAGAGCTTCAAAACAGACTGCAGCGCCATCTGAAGCAAAGAGCATACTTCCTGCAGACACTTTTTTGGCTGAGTGGCCCATCTTGTTATTTACTATCTTTGCCCAAACACAAAAGATAACAATGTATAAAATACATTTAAACGTGGTGCACCATGACGCCACAACAATCAACTGGTGAGAAAAAAAAAAAAAAAAATTCAATTTAAAGCTGAACAAAATATGGAATGAAACGGAATACTCAGAATGTGAGATATTTTCTAGCATCTTTTTTAATTTTGCATGCAGTCTGTTGACCTTAGCCTGAACCTGACAATACACATTTCCAAAATTATAATAGAAATCCCTTAATACTGTAGCTTGTGTAGTATTTTTGCCTTTATGTAATTACACAAACAAAGAGAAACCTATGTGTGTTGATAGAAAAAAACACTTCTGATGAGCCCAGATGACTTCACTTCTTCTAAAATGTGAAGTAATTTTGATCTTGTCCCTTGTGACATAATATGTGGATCATCACGTTCTAGCAAAGGTCACATAAAATATGGACAGTGTAGGCAATTAGTACATATATTATTATGATAGTGGTGTGAACGACATGGTATCACAAGGAATTATTTTGAAAACAAAAGCCTCCACTGACCGATTTGTTGGCTAGAGTTCCGTTGCCTCGTATTATGGGAGGCTGGTTGCAGCCCATCTTCCTCAAGGGGGCGCTACCCACGCGCTGGGCAGGTGCTCCAGCGTACGGCTGGCCTGGAGGAGATGGAACAAAAGAGACTGGTCAAAATATTTACTCCTCCACTCACATTGGCAAGATAAAATAGGAGGAAAGCTGTCTCTCCCAACCTTCTTTTCCTCAAAGCACCTTTCTAAGTCATCAGAACCCCACCCCCATCCCTGGCACACAAACAGGCTTTATCCCAAAACCTCTTCCTTAATTAAATAAATAAATAAATGAATGAATGAATGAATGAACAAACGAACAAATGAACTAACAAACAAATGAACGAACGAATGAAAGAATGAATGAATGAATGAGCAAATGAACAAATGAATAAATGAATAAATGAATAAATAACTTGTTCTAAACTGTAATTAAAATTACACCGGACACAGACAAGATGCACTTGCCTGGGATAGGGTCAGGCCTGGTGGTCTGCGTCCGCGACTGCCTGTTGACGCTGCTGTTGTCATTGCCGAAGCGAAGAGGGCGCTGCTGTCCAGTCTGGGGGTGGACGCCGACACAAGGACTGTTGCCGTGGGGGTGTTTGGTGGCTCCCAGGCTCAGGCGTTGTTGTTTCTCACTGGAAGGACAGTGGGGAATATTTTTTTAAAATTCGAGTGGGTGGTTGGTGGGTGCTTTGATGTGGTTTGTTCCTTCTTTCCTATCAACCATCTATGTCGTTCTCTAGAAACACCTCTTAAGCTTCAGCACTTATACAACCTAATTGTGTGTTGCAAATGCCTTACTAGAACTTAAAAAAGAAGAATTTGATTCCTTATTGCATTCATAGAAAGGGGTAGCATGCTCTGAAAGATTTTTGAATGACTATTGATTGAAAGTCCTTTGGCCCGCACATTTGAGCAGAGGATGAAGGGAGGGAGAGACAGAGAGAAAAAAGAGAGAAAGAAAAAAGAGAGAGAGAGGGGGGCAGAGAGAAAGAGACAGAGGGGAGAAAGTGGCAGAGAGAGAAAGCGTGTGTGTGTGTGTGTGTGTGTGTGTGTGTGTGTGTGTGTGTGTGTGAGTGTGTGTGAAAGACACAGAGAGAGAGAGAGGGATAGAGAGAGAGAGAGAGAGAGAGAGAGAGAGAGAGAGAGAGAGAGAGAGAGAGAGAGAAAAGAAAGAGAAAGAAAGATAGTCATGAAATTAAGAAGACAACAACGACTAATTGTTTGTTTCACACCCCGATCGACACAATGTACGTCACTTAAGAGAAGGGAAAAACTCCTGCCATTGGTTGTAATTAATTGTTTAACACCCCCCTCCCCCAACCTTGAAAATCAACACAATTCACAGCATTTGAGGAATATGGTGCCACTATATTGTGAAATATCAGCTTACCGTTTCAAGTAGACAGGATCCGGTCTGGGCCCGTTGACGTCCATGTTGAATTCAGTTAAACTCTCATCATCGCCAGTATATCTTTGGTTCCCTGAAAGGAAGGTTATCGGAAACACTTATAAGCATGAGCCAACACAAATTTAATAGAAACTATGTTGTTGTGTTTGTAGCTGTTATTACTGATGCTGTTATTGTTCTTGTTGTTGTAGTTGCTGTTTCTGTTATCGTTATTGTTGACGTTTAACTTCCAAAAGGAAACAATCCGGGTGCGGGTGGTTTTTTTGTTGTTGTTCGTGGGTTTTTTGGGGGTTTTTTTTTTTGGGGGGGGGGGGTTGCTCTGGAGTACTTTGCTAGTTCTTTCCTATAAAACACATATCGTCCTGATCTCTTCTCCTCCTTTTTTGTGTTTCTTACTCTCTACTATTACTTCTAATCTTTGGCACTTATTTGACTTTCTTGTGTTGCAAGTGCCGTAAAACTCTTCCTCAAAGCAAACAATTCAAGTGATTTTGAAAGCAGAGTGCCGCTAATCCCCCATGAAGACAAAAGGGTTAAGAAGAATCATATTGCAAGAGGGGTGGGAGAAATCGCTTTGACCTTTCTCAGATTTGGACCTCCTTTCTTGACAGACCAGTATGATAGCTCTACACGGAAGATACAGTAAGTGTGACCAAATGAAAACACCTTAGATTTGGGAGGCTGGCGGGTGCTCAAGTGTGTTTTTTCCCCCCATGTTTCCTATCAGACATCTATCGTCCTTTTCTCTTTTCCTTCTTCTTTTGTGCTTGTTACTCTCTTGTAACATCTTTAATATCTTCGGCACTTATATGACCTAACTGCGTTGCAAGCGCTGCAAAACTCTTTCAACATGTAGAAAAAACACCCCAGACAGACGGCAGCGTATGAGTGTCACAACTATGCCATTTATATACAGTAGAACGTATATATATTTAAACTGCGCTGTGTTTGACTCCGTCATACGTCACTTTATAAAATGGGGTATGGCGGAGTTTTACACCATGCAGTCAATTTACATAATAATGGTTTGTAATAATAGTTTATATTTTACCTTTAGTTAGAGTTTTGCGGCACTTGCAACACAAATAGGCCATAACACAAGTACTGAAAATTAGAGGTGCTACTAGAGGGTAACAAACAAAGAAAACAAGAAGGAGAGATAAGACGAAAGACGTTTGATAAAGAAGAAGGAGCAAACCACACCAGAACACCCACCAACCAACTGTACTGTCATATACATGTAGTTGGATATACGTATGCCCTCATGGTAACCACATTCACAGTGGAAACGAAGATCCAGCACTAGTACTAAAGGAGTTTTAGTTTTAGTAAAACTTTAACAGCACTTGCAAAAAAAAAATAGATCATATTATAAAAGTGCCACAGATTAGGAGGAAATATAAGATGTTTGATAGACGAGAAGGAGCAAATCAAACCAG